CCTCTAGCTTGTGCATTACAGTTCATGTAACAATATCTATAACCTTAAATGAAGTGGCTCAGTCATGTCTGACTCTTTGAGACCCCACAGACGGTAGCCCACCAGTCTCCTCCATCTGTAGAATTTTCTAGGCAAGAGCACTGCAGTGGGTTGCCATTCCCTTCTTCAGGATATCCTTAAGAGTACTGGTGAAAACACCGGGGTCAGGAAAATCCGAATCTGGACGTGACTCTCCTTGAGCATCCCGCGCCGTCCCGTGCTTCCTTGGGCGGCTCTCCCTGTCCTGGGATGAGGGGCCTCGGGAGCCTGGCCCTCCCTCACAGAGATGCTCTCTCTCGGGGCCGTCTCCAGTGGGGTCCGAGCAGCGGGACAGGGCCAGCTGCGGGGCTCTGGGCTGGGTCCGCAGCCCAGACTCAGTCTGGCGGGCGTGAACGTGACCTGCGGGGACCTCAGCCAGCTCCCCAAGGGCAAGAGGCTCGTCTTTGCCGTCTTGCATGACCCCGCAGGGCCTCTTCCTGCGCTGTCTACAGAGAGCCCATCACCCTTCAGAGCGGCCGGAGCTGCCACCGATGCCAACTTGCGAAGACCTCGCTCTGGCCACCAAAAGTGTCCCTTTTCCACTTTTTGTCTTCCCCCCCCCCTTTTCCCTGTAACAGTAGTAACTAAAGAAAGAAGGAACGCTTCTACACAGGGTAAACACTGTAAAAATGCTAAGAGACTGTTGCCTCAGAACCCTCCGTGATATGTGTCCGTTGCCAGGCCAGGTCGCCTGCCTTGCAGATACACACCTGTGTGGAAGGTAGACGGGTCTGATGCCTTGGCCGTGCCTTCGGGACGGGAAGGCGTGATGGTCACTTCACAACCACGAGTTCATTCACTGGGGGAGTGCCCTTGACAGCGGGAAGCCTGGGACACACATACCTGACCAAAACGGCCCCGAGGAAGAGAAAGCATCCAGGTGGGGGCTGCTTAAACTGGCTTAGGTAGAAAAGGAGGCTGCCTATGCTTAAACATACTGCCTACACAATCCAAAACCACTTCAACGTTCAGAACGACAAGTGTCTTCAAAAATGTTGGATTGTCCAAAAACTTCCTTGGGGTTTTTCTGTACCAGCTTATGGGAAACTCCAAACAAACTTTTTGGCCAACCCGATAAATCCTAACCAAGAGACTTCCAAGCAGTAGGAGCTAGTCTCCGGCACACAAATACCTCCAAGAGGAGAAACGGAATCCCTGGTTCTAGTCTACCTGCGTTGTATTCCTTCAGAAATGCAAAGTCTGGGTTGAACTGTTGTTACAGGTCCTGTTTGTTTAGTTATAAATAAAACACATCTTTTCCTTCATCAATGTATCTTTCCAGCTGTCGGACATAAAATAGACTCCTAGCTTCCTGAATTGAAATGTCATCTTCCTAACGAGAAGTGACAATTGTACATAACCATCTGGGTTGTTCTTAAAGCATCCTATTCTCACAAGCGTGTTTTCCTGCGGCGTCGTTCGTATTTAAAAAGATGAGCTCAACCTAATCGCTCAAACTCAGATTCTCAAAGAAAGTGACTCTAGAGCAGTTCTGAAACGGAGACCGCCCCGCTCACCTACCCCTCGACGTGGCCTGACCCTAACCCATGCCTGCTCATCCCTCCCACGCCCAAAGGAAGGGACGGGGCTCCTTTGCTGGGCTTTTTCCTCCCCCAGAGATACACATTCTGCAATCATGGAATATTCCAACTCCAACTCCCTTTCTGAATAAGCAACTGTTATTCTGCTCTGTTCTTTTTATCACTTGGTTTATGCACTGCTGAGAAACAAAAAAGCTACATAGTTTTCTTACTCCTACAGTTACATATTTTTTAAGAAGTAAGAATAGGTCACTATTGAAATAAAGTGCTGCTTGTCATGATAGCATTCTGGGAGGCAGCGGGACAAACAGGGCGTGTTAAGCTTTCCGTTGTGTGCAGACTTTCCCACCCTTCTCTGCCCCCACCAGGAAAATATGTCTGTCCCGTGATCTATTCAGTCCTTGACCTTTTGACTAACAGGCCAACAAAAGGCACCCTTTATTGGTGATTAATTTACGTGTCTTTGTCCATCAGGAACTGGATCAAGGCTGTCACAACTCAGCACCATCACCAGTTACACTTTCCACGTGCGCCTGGGGCATTTTTGCCAGGGCTCAGCGGGCCGTGCAAACCTGCATCCTGCCAACTGCCCCCTAAATCCACCTGTTTCGTGAGCAGGGGAGTCAACAGGAATGTCATCGGGGACGGGACCAGCCCAGACACTGTCGCTGGCCTTCCTTCAGGGCCCCCTCGGAGTCCCGGGAGCCGACCTTGTTCCTCACACGCCCCCTCCTCCCGGGTCCCCCTTGTCACACACGTGGCCTGTTTCCGTCCCTGCTGCACTGTTTTTGGACTGTGTTGCTTTTGCCCTCCTCTCTTTTGGAACTTCTTCCTTAGCATCTTTCGGTCTCCCCTGTAACACACATCACCAACCCCTACCCAACACACGCACGCGCACACACACACACGCGCACGCTCCTTCCTCATTCTCTCTTTCCTGTGTGCTCAGTCGTGGCTGACTCCTTGCAACCCCATGGACTGTACTCCTCCAGGCTCCTGTCCATGAGATTTTCCAGGCAAGAATATTGGAGTGGGGTGCCATTTCCTCCTCCAGGGCCTCTCCTGACCCAGGGATCGAACCTGTGTCTCCTGCATTGGCAGGCAGGCTCTTTACCACGGAGCCACCTGGGAAGCCCCTTCTCTCTTAATCCAACTCAGAACCTCCTCCTGTTGGAAATCCGCCCCCCACCCACGTGGGTGGATACCATGTTCTCCTCGGTGGGAGATCTGACCGCACTGACTCTCTTCTCAGACCACCTTGTAAATCTTTTTTTGATTTTAAACTATTTAAGTATTTGTCTGTATATATTTTTAAAGTTTACCTTTAGCTGAAAAACATCCAGGCAAGAACTCTTTGTTCAAACATCCTGTCTCTTGTTTACTATGTACAACCATCATGTATGAATATTTTAGATGATCAGCTACTCTGTAAATCAACCTTTAACTTAAATCCAGCTTTCCCCATCACAGCAGAAAGGCTTCCACCACGAGAAGGGCAAAATCCACTTCATTACAGTGGTTTTGCAAACCCAGCTGTGTAACTCATAACTTTTCTCTTTCTGAAAATTAGTAGTATTTCTGCCTGCCCTCACCCCCCACCAAACGAAGCAAATCAGGAGAACCATGTCCTTTCTCTGTGTTACAGAAGACAGCGATATTTCTCTAACAAGTTTCTGGGAAAATCAAGCAAAAGAACTGCTTATCTATGCTGTGTGGGATTGTAATTGTTACCTTTATTACTGGTCTGAACCATTACTCCGTCTTTTTTAAAATGTTCAAAATAACTGGGGAAAAACAGCTTTGAAATGCCATTTTCCACCCCCCTCTATTATTTTCACATTCAGGCAAGATAAGCTTTGGGCGCTGTATTGAAATCTGAATAAAATGAACACACTCATCTGGGAAAGTGCACATTTTCCAGCTATAGCTGCTCTCCCCATAGTGTCCCCGGCTTGAGCCCTCGTCCTCACTGCCCACTGCCCCCAGCCTCTCAGCCCACCCCGTGGCCCTTTGCTTTCATCATGAATCAGGTGGGGTAGCGTCAGCAAAGGCACAAAGATGACTTGCTTACTGGGAGAACAAGCGGTGTGGACGCCTTTAGAAATTCAGGTGGGAAATACAACTCACAGGCCCATCATGACTATTCCTGGGCTTCCCCAGTGGCTCAGATGATAAAGAACCCACCTGCCAATGCAGGAGATGCGGATTTGACCCCTGGGTCAGGAAGATCTCCTGAAGGAGAGCATGGCAACCCACTCCAGTATTCTTGCTTGGAGAATCCCATGGACAGAGGAGCCTGGCAGGTTACAGTCCATGGGGTGGCAAAGAGTTGGACATGACTGAGCGACTAAACAATAATGACTATTATTAGGTGGAATTTCTGTTCTCTGAATGGAAGCAGACCCCCACGCACTTGGGTAACCTCTTAGATGGAACACAATCAGATGCTTCTTATCCAAACACTTTGGGACCATGAGACCCAGCCTCCCACCCAGGCCATGGATGGCCAGTCCAGGAACCCCTTCCCGCAGAGTCTGAGAGGCAGCTGAGTGGTCACTTCCAGGCTCAGGGAGGTGAGACTCGGGCCGGGTCCTCCAGGTGCTCCCCCAACCCCCGGGGCAGGCCGCCTGCCTGGGCTTAGACCCCAGCATCAGCAGAGCTCCCATCCCTGTGAAGCCGTAACTGAGGACTAGGACCCAGGCGTTCAAGAAGAGATGAGGAAGAGATGGCAGGCAAGGCCATCTCTGCTCCCAGCTGCACCCCCAGTGATGGGGAGGGGCGGGGGTCCCAGCAGAGGCTGAACACCAGGGTTGGTGAGACCTGGAGGAGATAGCATGCACCCTGCGGACGCAAGCCCCAGACGTGGGCACGGGCTACGTCCCTCACTGCACCGCGTGTCCGTCTGCAATCACGCAGAGCCAGCACCCTTGCCTGACCATTGGCCCTTCCTTCTAACTAGGCCATTTTGGGGCTCTGCAGAAGTCAGGGTCCGGGAGAATGCTCTTGATGTAATTACCAGGTCTGAGACAGAGAGTCCCTGACTTGTGAGCTGTAGTGTAACCTCAAGTCACCTGGCGTTCGTTTACGCCCTGACGTCTCTAGTTGAGATGACTTTTCATCACCTCACTTTCGTTTACGCTCTGCTGACCTTGCATCAGCTCCCTTCTAGGGGGACTTTGTGTTCTGATCTGTCACCACTCCTGAGACTCTACCGGGAACATGTCAAATGATCCGATGCTAACTGAGCCATGTCAACGTCAAATGTTAAATGCTTGCATCTCGTGGCATAGGCCTTGGAGACCAACGCCTAGACCCATGCATAGGACTTTTCGGGAAAGTGCCGCGCAGTAACGGGCCTCTCTATGTGTTTGCATGAACCAGTGAACTCCGGGGACGGCATCGACTACAGCCAGCAGAAGCGGGAGAACGTCGGCGACTTGATCCAGGAGACGCTGGAGGCCTTCGAGCGCTACGGTGGCGAAGACGCCTTCATCAACATCAAGTACATGGTCCCCACCTACGAGTCGTGCTTGCTGAACTAGCGGGGAGGCAGCTGGGCTGGGCAGAGGGGGTGCTCCCCGGGGTCCTCCCCGCCACCTGTCTCTGCCGCTGCTAGCATCTCCTTATCCGCGACTTCGGCCGCTCAGCGCTGCCACAGCTGCCCAAATAGCGGCTCATGGGCCCTTGGATTGTTAGCCCTGTTGAGAGCAAGGCTTTCCCATACATAAACAGTGCCTGTTTCTTAGATTACAATAGTGTACTGTGCTTATTTGTTCCAGGAGAAGAATCGCTTCTTTATCCAGTTCGGAAAGAAAGCAGGAGTCCGAGTTAAACCTTCAGTTGTGTGGACAATAAAACTATGATTTTCGTACGCAATTCAGCAATTGTGTCTGCCTGCCCCGAGGGTGATGTCAGAGGTTGGAAGGGGAGCGTTTAGGCCAACTACTTAATAGGTGTTGGTCGTGGACCCGGGAGCCTATTCAGCAGCACCTCCCCAGCAGCTATGTAGAACAGTGTACTTTGACAAACGATGAACAGTGGGATCTAGGCCCCCATTACCAGGGGACGGTTTCCAGCGAGTTCTGAACCTCGGCTATAAACATAACTGATGCTTCTGGCCCATCGGAATCTGCACGGCTTCCCAGCTTATACTGGGGGAGGGGGGCACAGGGGAGGGGGTGGGCCGGGTATGAAATGCCATGTGGCACACGTGATTTGTTTAAAACGCTAGCTTGCTATGAGTAGTCTGACATCTGCACCCCAGGCCCCCGGTGTAACTGACAACATGCTACCCAGCAGGCAGTTTGGGGCCTTTCATCATTTTTGAAGATGACTTAGGTGCATTGTAGTGATTGCCCCTGGGAACAAACCAAGTCCTTTTCCTCTGCAGTTCTCCTCCCACTGGTGGGTTGGGTGGGTTCCCATAGCACCTCTTGCTGAGTCTGATGGCACTGCTTGGGAATTTTATTTAAAAAAAAAAAAAAGATTTAAAAAAGATTTTTTTAAAAAAGGCATGCAGTGCTTCATTCAACTGAGAAAGTGAAAAGGTGCCCAAAGAGAAGCATGAGTGTAAGGTGCCCCAACAAGGGCCTGCAGGGTGCAGGATGCTCAGCTCGGAAAGCTTTGGGGTGAGGGACCCCAATTCTGCGCACTTGCAAGCTGCCGTGACTGCTGGCAGTGCGGGCCGGAGGGTCTCAGTCTGCAGCGAAAGCAGCTCCTGCACAGAAGGGAGGAATTGAAATGTGTCCCCGGGGAAGCGAGCCCTGGCCTCTGGGTGGTTGTCCGTAATTATTGAAGACACAAGTGTCCAGAGGCAAACCCCGAGTTTGAAAACTGGTTCATTACTCATCTTCCTCGGTGCCAGGCTCGGCATATGAAATCTAACATCTGAGTAGCTACCACCTAGTTCCCGAAGCATTTTTTTTTTTTAAGGATAAATGGAGATGCGTGACTGGGTAAAACAAATTGGCTTTCGGGTATGATATCAATACTTTCAAAAGACAGAGCTAGAAGCAGACACGGAGAGGTTAAGACAGGTTTTTCTCCAAACTCCGGTGTTCCGCTGTACCCATCGGCTGTCTCCCTGGCATCAGCGAGGTGTTCGAAGTGACCCCTGAGTTCCTGATACTGTCAGTTAGAAGGATACCGCTGTCGGTGCCCTTGAATGTTCCTGCCAGAACTTCCTCCACGGCTCCATCAGGACTCCGGGACCAGCCTACTGTCTCACTCTCTCTCCTGCTCGTGAAAACCACCTGGTGTAGAAGCACGGAGACCTACCAGCCTCTGAGCCCAGAGCCCTAACTCTGGCATGAAATTAAAACATTGAGGTTCCTTTCCCAGCTCTCTGACTCTTATTAGCTGTGCCGCCTCGGGCCCGTAATTTAACTTCTCTGAGTCTCCAGTTTCCTCGGCTGTAATGTGGAGATTACTCCTACCTGCAGGACGGTTGTAAGAACTAGAGGTGATCTTACTGAAATACCTAGTGTAGTTTCTTATACTTGTTGGTCTTTACTGCAAAGAAACAAGACATGAATAATGACCACCTTCCACCCCAGCAAAGCAATATACAACTGGGAAAATCCTCAGATGATATGGGGCCTCCTAGAAGGCAATGGTGAGCTCTTTGTCATGAGAAAATAATTTTGCAGACAACCAAAGCAACTACAGAGATGGCACAATGCTCTCTAGAGATTGTTTTGAATGCATTGTTTTGTGAGTATAGAACTAGGAATGGCTGCTTTTTCCGTCGTCTCGACCCCAGGTGGCGTCTCCCTGTCTGTAGGGACACACAGAGGAAGAAAGCAGGTGGGGTGAAGGGGGAGAGAGCCCCAGGCACCCCGGGACGTGCCCCCACCTCGTGGTCAGCCCAACCAGGTGCCTGAGGGCGTCTCACTCCACGTGAGCAGGCGGCAGGGCTCAGAGCCCAGAATCCCTGAGCAAAGGCCCTGGACAGGCTGCTAAACTCGGGGAGCACGGGAGGAGCCCACCAGAAAGGGAAACCAAGCCCAGCTGGAGGAGAGATGCTCACGAGGAGACGGAGGCGGCCCAGAACGAGGACTTCCAACGTCTGCGCAAGCGTCAAAGACCATGGAAGGCGGGAAGCCCAGGGCCGCCGGCAGCTTCTCAGATGGATCGACAACCCATTTGTTGAAGAAAGACGCCGCCTTGAACTCTGGGCCTCCTGACCAATCAGAAGACCAGGAGCTGGAAGGGGAAGCCGGAGTGGAAGTGTCCGAGGTAAGGCACACCTCTTGGAAGAATTCAGTCCACGGGGTCGCTGATGCCTTCCAGAGGGAGGCTTCATCAAGGCTGGCAGGATAACCAGGCTGCCACCTGAGAGAATCTCTCTCCCTCCCCAACCTATCATCCTGTCCATCAGAAACAGCCTGGAGGCTGGATGGGTGGTGCCACGTGGGGTGCAGGGGAGGTCCCCGGTGGACCAGGCCCCTCACGGGTGCAGGTCTGAGTTGTTATACCACTGGACCTGCTGAGAGAGACATCGGGGCTCCCACAAGCCCACTGCCCACTGCTAGTCGCCTCTGTGGGCTCACCATCATCTTGGAGGTAGGCTCCCCACACCAACCCCCGCTCGCTATACTGTACAAACAGCACGTCATCTTATGGCCCAACTCTATCTGGAAACATCAGAAAGAAATTCACAGTTTGAAAATTCTGCGGAATGGTTGCCTGCTTGGAGAACATGGTCTTCAAAGCTGAAGTTTTCTTATGCAAACAAGTCTCAGGTTTTTTCAGGGTTTGCTTATACACGATCTAGAAACGGGAGATGTTTTGGTGCAGGCAGAGGGACGTCCCAGAACAGTGTCATTTAGAGAAGCCGAAACAAAGTCCTCCTACTTCAATACCCACCACATCGCTTACTTCTCGGGCTATTCTGAGATGTTCATCACCAGCCTTTTATAAGCAGAAGCTGGGAAGCTGGAAGACCACTTGGAAAGAAGTAATAAACCTGGAGAAATATTCCGTGAACATTTTTCTAATCATAAATTCCTACTCTTTGAAGGGATTTAAAATGGAGTCAGAAAACCTCAAATGCTTCCAAAACAATTCTACCCAGGAAAGCATCCCTCTTCTAGAAATGTACCAGTGGACCAGTTTTTAAAAGTTCTCTTTTGAAAAGAAGAAACTTCGAGACCTAAGCTAGAAATGACCATGCTTCCTTCCACTCAGACCAAGACAATCCGTGTCCACAGTTCAAATATTCGGGGTCTGGAAGGCTCTCCCCCAACACACAGCCTGCAGACCGGCAGTGCCCCAGCCAGGAAGAGTCACTCGGTGGTGACCGAACACAGCTTCCCCCTCACCCCACTCAGCCCCCCTTACTGCCCGCCCAGAGGCTCTCACAGAACCACCCTCTTCATAAGATCCAGGAGGGAGGGCTTTCCCGAGCTCCAACAACTTTTTCTCTTTCTTTTAAAATAAGAGATATTTTGTTTATTGCAATAATAAAACATTGGAAGTGAGTTAAATACCCAGTTACTCTGTGCACTGGACCCAGCATTTCCTAGCCCTGATAATGAGCAGAGGAGGAAAGTCCATTTTGAAGTGGGAACTGCCAACCACTCTACTAGGTTTATTTGTAATCAGGGTGTCTTAATGCATCTGGTCCCATCACTTCATGGCAAATAGATGGGGAGAATGTGGAAGCAGTGACAGACTTTATTTTCTTGGGCTCCAAAATCACTGCTGATGGTGAGTGCGGCCATGGAATTAAAAGATGCTTGCTCCTTGGAAGGAAAGCTATGACAAAACTAGACAGTGTGTTAAAAAGCAGAGACATCACTTTGCCAACAAAGGTCCGAATAGTCAAAGCTATGGTTTTTCCAGTAGTCATGTATGGATGTGGGAGTTGGACCATAAAGAAGGCTGAGCATCAAAGAACTGATGCTTTCGAATTGTGGTGCTGGAGAAGACTCCTGAGAGTCCCTTGGACTGCAAGGAGATGAAACCAGTCCATCCTAAAGGAAATCAACCCCAAATATTCATTGGAAGGACTGATGCTGAAACTGAAGCTCCAATATTTTGGCCACCTGATGCGAAGAACTGACTCAGTGGAAAAGACTCTGATGCTGGGAAAGATTGAGGGACAGAGAAGAAGAGGGCAGCAGAGATGGTTGGATGGCATCACCGACTCGATGGACATGAGTTTGACCAAACTCTAAGAGATAGTGAAGGACAGGGAAGCCTGGCGTGCTGCACTTCATGGGGTCACAAAGAGTTGAACATGACTTAGCGACTTAAGAACAATTCAAAAGATACTCTAAGCATCCTCTCTGCTCTGCAGTGGGGGGATAAATAGTAGTACTTGGCTTAATCAAGAACACTTTCCTGCAGGAAAATGTATATTGGTGTGGAAACTGATTTATCTCCCATCATCTTTGAGTCTTTTGCTGGCTTCAAAGTGTGAGCACGTGGAAGCTGATCGGAGATCCAGAGCACCAGCGGGGTGTCCCGACCTTGCTGACTCCCGCTTTGCTTCTGGGAAACCCCACCAATAGCAACAGTTTGCGCAGACACTGATGTTAAACGGGAACATGGGCGCCGTAACCACCGTGAGTCAGCTCGGGCGTGGCTCCTCGGGAAGGAAGGACTCTATTACTTCTGCCCGCATGAAGCTGTCTGCTTGGATCTCAAGTCCGGTGCAGTGTGCGTCTCCGGACAAGTTCTCTGGCCATGAGCCGGCTCTCTCACCACCGGTGAAGGATGTAGACAGACGTGTGGCGGAAGGAGCTCTTTGCACATCGGTTCATTAGCGTTTCTCTGTTTCGGGGGTTGATTTTTGCCTCCTCTGGTGGGAAATATTTTTAAGGTATTTGGATACTTTGTTTTTCCTTTGC